TAAATGAAAATGAGGACATAACACAGACACTAAGGAAATTCTGGGAAGCAAAAAGACAAGGGAATACCTTAAAAATCTGTACTCCACAAAATTGGAAAATATAAAGAAATGGGTAACTTGCTTGATAGATGTCACTTACCAAAGTTAAATCAAGATCAGATGGTTGGAGTAGGGTGCTGTTTGTTGGTTTCCGGCCACCCAGCTAGCTTAGAACTGAAATAATCACACAGAAATCATATTATTTAAAACACTGCTTGGCCTATTAGCTCTAACATCTTATTGGCTAACTCTTACATCTTAATGTAACCAATTTCAAGTAATCTGTGCTTCTAGGTCGTGGCCTACAAGCAAAGTTTCAGCACACCTGTCTCTGGTGGCTCCATGGCTTCTCTCTTACTCTACCCTTCTTTCTCCCATGCTATAGGCCAAGCCAGTTCTTTATTCGTTAACCAATAAAAGCAACACATAAGACAGAAGGACCATACCATCAGATAAACAATTTAATGAACCTATAACCCTCAGTGAAATAGAAGCAGTCAAGGCCAGATGATTTTAGCATAGAAATCATCCAGACTTTCAAAAAAAAGTTAATGCCAATAGTCCTTAAATTAGTTCACAAAATAGAAACAGAAGGAGCATTGCCAAATTCATTTATGAGTCCACAGTTACCTTGATACCCAAACAACAGAAAGACTCAACAAAGAAAAAAATTACAGGCCAATTTCTCTCATGAACATAGATGCAAAACTATTCAATAAATTACTTACAAACTGATTTCAAAAACACATCAAAAAAATTATTCTCCATGATCAGGTATGCTTCATCTTAGAGATACAGGAATGTCCAGTAAATTTAATCCACTACATAAATTACCTAAAATACCCCATATGATCATTTTGTTAGATGCTGAAAAAGCCTTTGACAAAAATTCAACAGCCCCTCATGATAAAAGTCTTGGGGACATTAGGAATACAAAGAACATATATCAACATAATAAAGGCAGTATACAGCAAGCCTATAGCCAACATTAAATTAAATGGAAAGAAACTCAAAGAAATTACACTAAAATTAAGAACAAAACAAGGTTGTCCAATTTCTCTATACATATTCCATATAGTGCTTGAAGTCTTAGCTAGAATGATAAGACATTTTTGTGGTCTTTGAGCTCTTTTTTTCCCTTTTTATTGATTTTATTGATTTATACATTTTCCCCTGTTCCCCTCTCTTCCTCTCCCCTCCCCTTCTACTCTCTCCCATGGTCCCCACGATCCCAATTTATTCAGAAGATCTTGTCTTTTTCTACTTCCCACGTAGATTAGATCCATGCATATCCCTCTTAGGGCCCTATTGTCATCTAGGTTCTCTGGGATTGTGAATTGTAGGCTGGTTTTTTTTTTGACTTGTGTCTAAAAACCACTTATGAGTGAGTACACATGATATTTCTTTTTCTAGGTCTGGTTTACCTCATTCAATATGATTTTTTTCTAGCTCCATTCATTTGCCTGCAAATTTCAAGATGTCATTATATTTTTCTGCTGTGTAGTAATCCATTGTGTAAACATACCACATTTTCCTTATCCATTCTTCAGTCAAGGGGCATTTAGGTTGTTTCCAGGTTCTGGTTATGACAAACAATGCTGCGATGAACACAGTTGAGCACATGTCCTTGTGGCACGATTGAGCACACTTTGAGTATATACCCAAAAGTGGTATTGCTGGGTCTTGAGAAAGGTTGTCTTCTAATTTTCTGAGAAATAACCATACTGACATCCAAAAGGGCTGAAACAGCTTGTACTCCCACAAGCAATGCAAAAATGTTCCCTTTATTTATGGCTAGAAACCAAATATGAGTGAGTACATCCCATGTTCCTCTTTTTGGGTCTGGCTTACCTCACTCAGGATAGTGTTTTCTATTTCCATCCATTTGCCTGCAAACTTCAAGAAATCCTTGTTTTTTACTGCTGAGTAGTACTCTAATATGTATATATTCCATACTTTCTTCATCCATTCTTCAATTGAAGGGCATCTAGGTTGTTTCCAGGTTCTGACTATTACAAACAATGCTGCTATGAACATAGTAGAGCTTGTATGATAAGGCCTCTCTTGGGTATATTCCCAAGAGTGGTATTGATGGCCTGGGTCTGAAAAAGCCTGGATTAAAACCGGTCTCGCTGAGCATAGCGGACAATGAGGACTACTGAGACCTCAAGAACAATGGCAATGGGTTTTTGATCCTACTGCACCTATTGGCTTTGTGGGAGCCTAGGCAGTTTGAATGCTCACCTTACTAGACCTGGATGGAGGTGGGTGGTCCTTGGACTTCCCACAGGGCAGGGAACCCTGATTGCTCTTTGGGCTAACGAGGGAGGGGGACTTGATTGGGGGAGGGGGAGGGAAAGGGGAGGCGGCTGTGGGGAAGAGACAGAAATATTTAATAAATAATTAAATAATTAAATAAATAAGTAAAAATGTTCCCTTTACCCCACAACCTCTCCAGCATAAGTTGTCATCAGTGTTTTTGATCTTGGCCATTCTCACAGGTGTAAGATGGAATCTAAGAGTCATTTTGATTTGTGTTTCTCTGATGGCTAAGGATGCTGAACGTTGCTTTAAGTGTCTTCCAACCACTTTAGATTCATCTGTTGAAAGTTTTCTGTCTAGGTCTGTACTCCATTTTTTAAACTGGATTATTTGTTCTTTTGATGGTCAATTTCTTTAGTTCTTTGTATATATTGGAGATTAGTCCTCTGTCTGATGTGGGGTTTTCCCATTCTGTAAGCTGCCATTTTGTCTTGTTGATCATGTCCTTTGCTTTACAGAAGCTTCTCAGTTTTAGGAGGTTCCATTTATTAATTGTTTCTCTCAGTGTTTGTGCTACTCAGGTTATATTTAGGAAGTGGTCTCCTGTGCCCATGCATTGAAGGCAACTTATGTTCTTTGCACATTTATTTGTAATAGCCAGAAAATGGAAAAAACCTAGATGTCCCTCAACCAAAGAACAGATAAAGAAAATGTGGTACATTTACACAATTTAGTATTACTCACCTGTTTAAAAAAAATGACATCATGAAATTTGCAGGCAAATAGATAGAACAAGATAAAAATCATCCTGAGTGAGGTAACCAAACCAAGAAAGACAAATATGGTATATATTCACTTATAAGTTGGTATTAACTGTTAAGTAAATTATAATAATCAAGTTACAATCCACATACCCAGAGAGGTTAGGTAAAGTGGAGGGCTCTAGGGGAAAGCATGGATCTCCCTGGGGAGAGGAAATAGAATAGATTTTTCAGGTGGACTTGGGCATAGGTAGGGGTTGGAGTGGGATGGATCAAGTTGAAGAACATGTGAAGAGAGAAAGCTGGAATTGGGGAGCATTTTGGAGCGGTTCAGTAGAAAGTTCCAGGAATATATGATGATGACCCTACTGAGAACTTCTAGGTAGTGGAGGACATGAAGTCTTTTGTAGGCAGGGTTCCAATGGTGAACTGTGTTGCATTCAGTGAGCTGTTGGCCAAGGAGATCACTAAACAACACGAGTTGATTCTAGGACAGAAGGTCACTTTCTTAAAACTGACAGTGGACCCCATTGCCAAGAACAACATTCATTAAACATAGGTAAAATTGGTGCCCACATGGAGACTTCTCCCCTATATTTTATTCTCTTTGGTATAGGAAGTTACACTGCAGGCTACAGAAAAAGAAACTGGAAGCCAGGCAGTGATGGCACATGCCTTTAATCCCAGCACTCAGGAGGCAGGTGGGTCTCTGTGAGTTCGAGGCCAGCCTGGTCTACATAGTGAGTTCCAGGACAGTCAGAGCTACACAGAGAAGCCCTGTCTCAAAAAAAA